AGGAGAGGAGAGGGTAGTTGCTGCCAGAGAGGAAAGCCAAGTTGATCAGACTCGGGGAGATCCAGTCGTCGGCAGCGAGAGTTTAAGAGTTAAGCAGTAGAGTCGATAGTTCTGTCAAAAATATGTCGCGTGGGCGAATCCGGATTAGGAAGGGGACACGCGACACGAGAGCGCTGGTCCTAGACAGGTTCAAAGACTGAGATTCTGCCTAGAATACGCTACCGTAACGAGAGTACGAGGTCGGGTATAAATACGATACGTACGAGACGCCCGAGTAACAGGGATTACCGAGAAATTGAGTCCATGAGTAATGACAGTCGGTGAACGCATGGTCCAGGTGATGGGAATGAGCAAGCAAGGAGTAGGAGTAAGTAAGCAAGAGGAACGGGATCAGATGGAGGAGGTGCGAGGAGATGATGGGAGTAGGTACGGCGGGATGGAGCGAGAGCGAACGAGCGCCGGGCGCTACACCACGTGACCTACACCTTCAAGCAGACGCTCATTACGCCCTGATCCGAAAGCCGACCTTACTGCCCCGCGCACGATCAGGACCCTGCTCCTCGGGGTCAGCCAGAAGGTTAACGCGACAGATATAAATGAAACTAGGGAAGCGATCATCGGGGATGAGCATTGAATCCTGGTCGCGCGTCGTAGGATGTAAGTGTTTATCCGCGATGATTGCTAGTAGTGCACTCCAACACCTGCACAATAGTAGCATAGATATGGCATAATATGTCCAAGGTATTCTGCAAAATATCATCGATACAAGAGCGCCAGAGGGCGTATTCAAGACTAGCAGCTAAAGCATCAGAAAAGTCAGCGACCTCGCTAGAGGCATCAGGGTCAAACTCCACATGCCAGTGCTCCTCTAGTTCGTACAAATGGTCCGAGGCTCTAGAAAGATGAGCGATTCTACAACACGCCGCATGGATGCTCAAGTACTCTGAGCTTGTTGATGGCAGGCGGGGATTACTTGAATGGAACGTGATAAACTCCTTCCATATGCCGATTGCTTCCAGTGGATGGATCGAAGCGAACCTGTAGCGGTTAGGAACGCCCTGGCAATCATCAATTCAACTCACGACCATGAAGAATACATGGAAACAGGGACATGCCGTCACAGGCTCGAACCAAAGCTCGAGCGTGTCAAAGCAATCACACAAGTCGACGGACACCACCATGAAGACGTTCTTCAGTGCAGTGGATATGTTCTCTTTCGCCAGCTCCTCGACGAGCTGCGTGAAGCCTGGTCCTTCCAGCACAGTGCAGACTATCTTATGTAGAGAGCTGTTGGTAAGACCAGGGAAAGTGCGGCAGCATCTCAGTAGCTTGATGGAAGAGGTGTGTTCTCCGATTTCGCCGCGGTGGGCACGGTAATATTGTGTATAGATTGCGCCTGTCGCAATACACCGGTAGTCGTCACGCTTCAAGGCCTGTATGTAGTGAGGAACAAGACAGCGGCGATCCACGACGTACGAGATCTTTCAACGAAGCGCGATTGGGTGGAGACTTATGCAACATTCTTGAATATCTTCCTCCGTGAGCTCGAAAGAGGGCGGCTAAAAAGTGGATGTGATAGGACTATGTATCGTGGCCCTTGAATTTGCGAGCTAGATGTAATGACGTCATGGAAGCACGAGAGTCAAACGACTCAAGACTCACATGAAAGCATGATATGGTCCTTGTAGAACGCTCCAAGTTGGACTAGTGCCTCTACGTCTACTATGTAGCCGGCTTCTACCTCAGTCGAATGTCGAGATTGGGAAGAAACGACAGCTCGCGCAACCGGGACGGCGGCTGGAGCTGGTAGAAACCTATGGGTCAAAAGATGTCCCACTATACGCACGCATACGAGTTTCCGACGCGCAATCTTGTCGTCGGGATAGGTGTTGAGTACGATGCGCTCTGCGGCGCAACATTGATCGAGCGCGTTGCGGACGATGCGGTCGAAATGAGCGACATCTAAGGCTTTGACCTGTGATAGAGGCAAAGGCGATGGTGAGGTGTCTACAGGTGCAGACATTGCGAGGGGAGCAAACAATCCGACTCGGAGCGGCCAAACAAGTCTCAGGCTCGAGTAAGGGCCGGCGCATATTCAAAATGAGAAGGCGGCGGCCCGGAAGCGTTCCGAACCTGTCGCACAACGCGCGTGGACGGCTTGCGCTTGTCCTTGGACTCATCCATTCAACGACTCAACGTGAAGCCGACTCGCCTTTGACCCTTTCTGACGACTTTGAGTATGTCTTTCCAGATACATCTGCTCAGCATAAGAGGGCTTCAGCACCTGGAGATGTGTCTCTATGTAGAACGCGAGCATGGTATCACAAGATTTCGAATCTCTCAGAGGTGCAAACCGCAATGCCAATCTGTGCACTAGACGGCGGCGACCCCAGTGGGTGTGCTCGAGTACCATGAGTGAGTCTGTTCTAAACGTGCGACCAGTCATAGCCTCACATGCGGAACGTCCTGAACGCGAACCTGTACTAGCTTTGGCTTCGGCTTCTAACGCTTCTTCGACTATTGACTAGTTGCGAGAAAATGCTATTCCGTAGGTCCACGACTTGTTAGAACAAGTCGCGGCTTCGACGAATGCCAGAAGCCCCGTTTCCGAGTCCCGACGAATCAACCGATCATGGTTATTCTGGTTCGGTGCGCGCTCCTCATTGCCTACCGTGCTTCGCGGGGGCGCTAGCTATAGCATTGGAACCCACGTGTACGCTGCAGCCTGCCCTAGCCTGCCAGCAAGCTTGGTCCGCACAGCCAAGCTTGATCAACATTCGGTGAAGCCGCCGAATGTCGTCATCGTTCCTCGAGGCAGACGTCCACGTACCGGTTGTTCCTACGACCGGCAAATAGGCGTCGGGCTGCGCGCATTTCGCCTTCCCGCAAGATCGCCGAGGTGGCTCAACTTAACCACATAGTCATGCGCCACACTATCGCATCGCCTCAGGCCCGAGTTTCTCACTCTTCCATTAGATCGATCTACTCGCGTCGTCCGGCGGTCCTTCCGTTCCACCCAAGCTGTCTGCCACACTACGTCCGCAGTGCCATGCGTGGCGCCCACTTCCCGACCTTGGGCTTCCTTTCTCCACTACGATCCGATGCATGCCCTGCTCCTGGCGCTTCTGTGTTGCGATGCTGCCACGACGGTCGTAAGAAACGGCCTCCTCGCCATGTCTTCCGTAGTCACCAGGCCTGCGGAGCTTGGTGAGTACGTACGCGGCCAACGTCAATCTTCCAGACGACAAGTTTGCGGCGTTCAGACCATGGCATCCTTCGGTCCTACTGTCCCAGGTTGCGCAGCGGGACTAGAAGGCGCCGTATGACGAGTGCACACGGAGTACCTATCTCGGAACAACAGACACCGCTCATGCACTTCCAAGTGTGGCTACCTCGGAGCTGGTCGACCCACGTTTCATTCCCAGGAGCGGGAACGGAGAAGCGACGCAGCCTCGTGGCTGACCCTCACACGACTGACACCCCGTCAGACTGATCTCGTCGACGCTGGGCGAAGCCAACGTCATGCTTCTCCGATACCTCCGGATGCAACCTGTCCTGTTCTGCGCACACCGCCCCCAGGAGCGATAGCATACATTTGGTAAGGAAGACGAGTGAGTGGGCGTCATCCGCCCTTGCGGAGCAAATTCCGTGGATTCGAAGAGTCGGGTAGTTCGCCAGGACGCCGACTTCGTCCAGATTCGCCGGCTGTGCGCTGACGCGGGCAGTGGAGGACGGGGGAGATGATACCAGATTTTGACCGCGGGCTCTGTGATTCATGTACTGATTTCGTGTGGCATGTGCCCGCATAGCGTGAATATCGCCACTCGCGAACCTACTGCGGCTCTCAAGAGAGCGTGACGAGTAACGTGTCACACGGACCGGGGGCCTGTATTTGGCGCTGTTGATGAAGTGTGGCGTTGCGCTCAGCAATATCAGCCCGGTGGTTGCACCCTCCTAGTTTAAATCCCTTTTGATTTCCTCCCTTCTACTCCTTGCTCATGCCAGTTCTCTACTCCCACCACCACTCCTACGCCGCGCTCCCCATCTCCCAATAACGCTCGCTTGGCGTCGCGGGCGTGTGCAGCACGCTCGGGGCGTTCCCCTCAACCTTACCTGCAAATCCACCTCCCGCAGTCGCATCGACGACCATGGTGGGTGGTGGCACTCGCCTCATATGAGGCTTGTGTTATTGAGCACGTCCCTTCCTTTCCCAGGTCTTCGTCGCCGACAAGAAGTACGCCTGGTATGGCAGCTTGGTTCCGAATGATGCCATTCCACGCCCCGCTGATCACGCGCCCTAGTGAGACTTGTATCAAAGGCCACCGCTCATCCTCCTGCAAACATACCGACCGTCCTCTGTTCGAGATCAAGAAGAAGGGTCGACCTGTCACCCAGTGTGAGCACTGTCGCGAGCTTCGTAAGACACGCCAAATACACGTCAAATGCGTCTGTGAAAACAAGGAGGCCAGCGAAGAGGTGCCAGGCCCTTCTGGCAGCAAAGGTGTGTTAATGCATTGAGCGCGCCCTGCTCGCTCTTGTCTGACTTCAAAGGCTGCTCTGGTCTGCTGCGCTCTAGGTGGACCAAAGCTTCCGGCTCGCGCCGCGTTTCCCAGCGGTTTGCCCGAAGACCTGCTGGAAGCGTCGGTTGCGTCCCAACTCTTTTCAGAAGGCTCCGACTCAGACCAAAGCAGTAAGTCTACTGCGAGCGCAGGATAGCCCTCCAAATTTAACCTCGATGCTAGGTCGTGGCTGTTCTTGCAAGGATGGCGCGACGTGCACATGTTGGACACCACGTAATCGCGGCAAACGTCCTGCGAAGCCACACGAACGTCGGAATTCTGAAGCGCGCCCTATCTCTACCTCTGTGGATGGGGTTATATCGCAACCTGCCGCACTCGTCGTTCACGCTCACGCAGGGGGCAACCGTCCGGTTCTCCCCAAACCTGCCGCTGAGCGTCCCAGCTCCCCTCCCCGCACCTCGCACAGTCCGTCTCTTACCCAAAGCGGCCGTCTGCCTACCCATGGCCAGTCGTTCTACAGCCCCTACAGTCGCGCCTATGAGTACTCCCATGCCACCGGCTACCCTTCCATGAACGAGGGGAATCCTTTCAACGTCCAAGGTCTCCTCAATACCGCTTCGAATACCGCCTCATCTTTTGGCGCGTGGCCTCCCGGTGCGGAGGGCTCGCCTTTAGAAACGTCGCCCCTATCTTCCCCTCCTGCTTGCGGTTGTGGACCCTCGTGCGCCTGTCCCGGTTGCTTAGAGCACAACGGTCCGAACGCGGACCTTACGGCCGCCTGCGCTAACCCGAACAATTGCGTCGCCTGTGTCGAGTGCAACATTAACATTCTAGCCGCACTCGCAACAGGCAATGCGCGCGCGATGTACGACCCGTCCGGTATGCAAAACGTCGACGATTGGCTCCGCCAGGTGCCCTCCATGCCGGACATAACATCCCCGACCATGCAATCCCCCATCTTCTCTCCCGACCAAAGCCAACCCGACCTCCGCTACGACCCCTCTATGTTGCAGACGTACGGAATGTGGAACGAGATGCAGAACGGGCCTGTGCAGCAGACGCCTACGATCAACGAAGAGTGCTGCGGCGGCCAATGCAGGTGTCCTCCGGGCATGTGCAGGTGCGATGCGGATCGCTTCGACAGCGCGTCCGGGCGCACGTTGACGTTCGCCGTCTCTGGCGAGCGCGCACCTTGCTGTGGCGGCGGAGCGTCCTCGCCTGCGCGATCGCCCGCGACTGGTCCTGGCCCAGCGGCTGGCCCCAGCTCACGAGCGAACCTGGCTCCTCCGAACGCGCCGCGCTTCGCAGAAGGAACTTGGCTCTCCCCCACGCTCGCAGTCCCCAGGACGCCGCTCAGTCGCGCGTCTTCCTCGTCGTCAAAATCGTCGCCGCACCCTTCGACCTCTTCGTCTTCCCCCGCGTCGTTCGGAGATCTGACGGAAGGCTCTGCTGCGCAGCGCGGTGCTCCGTCTGGGTCGGAGGTGGGTTCGTGCTGCGTGTCGATGGGGAATCTGAGTACGAACGTACCCACCGGGTCTTCTTCCGGCGCGCATTCAAATCGTCGTGGCTCTGACCATAACGAATATCGGACTCGAGGCTCAGGTTCAGTTCCGGGTTCCAGTTCCGCTTCTGTTGAGTATCATTCTGCGGCTCAGACCCAGGGCCGCCGCTACTAGTCAGTACTAGGTGTACGCATACGCAGCCTTGCTTCGCATCTTCCTCACTGTTCGAGCAAACCCAGATATTTCGTGCTGTGTAGACCGTTCCCGCGATACGCGTCGAGGTGATCTGCGCCCGCTTCTAAGCCTCTCCGCTTCGCATCCTCTCTGTTCCGTCTACTTCTACCGTCTCCTTCTCTCGTCTCCGACACCCATCCACTTATAGCTCCTGAGGCCTGGTGCAACCATGCTCTGTCGAGGTCACCCGCCCGCTTCTCTGCGTTCCTCCTATCGCGAAGTTGATACAGTTTGTGTTACGGTAGCACCCGACGCGGACACGCGAAAGTTTCGGTAGACGCGAATCGGATTTATGTCTGTTTTCCTTGCGTGCATGCCTCCAACTCTACCACAAAGAAGCCGGTGGTCGATCGAAGCGTACGGACTCGGCCTCAACAGCACGAAGTCAGGAACGCTGCATGCCCGCCCGGGTAGGTTCAGGATAAGCCAGACAGGCTCTCGGAGCACGGTCACGATGCGGGGGGCGATTGGACTGGCCAGGACGTCCTCGAAGTTTTGATGGGTCCCTTGCCTGTCGATCGTCGACCGCGCGGTCGGTCCGGGCACTCAATGGACTCTGCATGGGCGGTGGATTCAGCCTCGAGCTAGGGTCCAATGACATCTTGTGCGACAGGTATGCCCCGGAGGGTGCAGTATTTCCATCTTAGTACGCCGTTGCACACACGCGCACGCGCGCGCGCAGCAACGACCGACGACCCAAACGGCAATAGCATGTATCAATACATCGAGAAACCAAGAGCGACGGCGACCTCCCAGCCCCCTTCCCTCCCTCCCGACCTAAATGATCCAGACAGACGACACCCCCGCCACCCGCTCACAGGCCCCCATACTTTTCGAGGAACTTCAAGTGGAAGCTCTCGAGCTTGCCCACGTACTCCTCCACGCCCGGACACAGGCACGTGAGCCGATAGTGGCTCTCGCCGTCCTTCTGCCCGAACCCGGACCCGGGCACGACGCAGATGCCCGTCGCGTCGAGCAGCTCGAGCGCGTACAGCGCGTCGGGCGCCTTGCCCTGCCGCGCGGCCTCCTCGACCGCCTTTTGCGGCAGCTCGATCTTCGGGTACAGGTAGAGCGCCCCGGGCGAGTCGACGCACGACACGCCCGGGAGCGCGTTCAGGCGCGCGGCGGAGAGCCGCGTGCGGTGCCGGAGCGCGGCGTGGATCGCGTCCGTCTCGCGCGCGTAGAGCTCGTACGAAGGCTGGCCGGGCTTCGGGGGGCGCACGAGGCAGTCGACGCCGACCTGGCCGGAGAGCGGGGGGCAGAGCGAGACGGACGCCATCTTGTAGAGGACGGCGCGGACGTCGTCGGGGATGTTCGTGCACTCGAAGTAGCCGCCGCGCCGGCCGCACTCGCCGAAGACGCCCTTGGAGATCGAGTGGAAGGAGAAGAGGGGGACGGGCGAGCGGAGGTCGCGCACGACCTGCTTGAACGAGTGGAACGGGTGCGTGTCCGGGCGGTGGAGGTTCGCCTGGTAGACCTCGTCGGCGAGGAGGACGAGCGAGTGCTCCTCGCAGAGCCGGACGACGTCCTCCATCGTGCGCTTGTCGAGGATCGCGCCGGTGGGGTTGCCCGGGTTGATGACGACGAGCGCGCGGGGGACGACGTGCGAGCCGTGCGCCTCCGCTTTGCGCAGCGCAGCGCGGATCTCGTCCAATGACGTCGACCAGTCGTCGGACTCGGACAGGTGATAGGGCAGGGGGACGCCGGAGAACTGAGCGAGCGTCGCGGTGTAGAGCGGGTATTGGGGGATAGGGATGAGCACGCCGGTGACGTTGGGCGTGATGAGGACGTTGAGGATGAGCGAGACCCCCGCGGACGCGCCTGTGGTCAGGAAGATGTTTTCGGGGTCACTGGGGTAGCCGTCGCGCTCTGGGGCGGGTGTCAGTGCGGGGCGCGCAGGGTCGCGATGGGACGCACCTTGGATGAACTTTGCGACGCTCTTGCGGATGAGCGGAACTCCTTTACTGTGCGAGTACGCGCCTATGGACCCGATCTCCTCCTGCAGCTCCTTGGCGCGGTCGATGACGTCCTGGGGCCACTTGCCCCGCACGAGGTCTACCAGCGGAGGGTACTCTAAGAGCGCGGCGACCTGCGCGCGGACGAGGGGTCACTGTACTTGCTCGGAACGAGACAGGGAAACGAGAACGCACCTGTCGAGGGAAGGTGAGAGGGGGCTGGTCGAGGCCCTTTTGCTGGGGGTTGCCGATGTTGGAGGAAATGACCTTGTCGAAGGGGAGGTGCTTGTGGCCCGCGGCGAGCTTCTCGCGGTGCTCCTCGGCCTTGATGGCGAGCTCGCCGCGGACGGCGTAGTGGACATTGGCGACGGAGGGGTTGAGGTCGGCGGCGGTGAGCGAGCGCATGGCGGAAGCAGAGGAGGAGAAGGGGGAGGAGCGAGAGGGGTGTGCTGCGCGGGTCAGGCGGAAGGAAAGGGTGTTATAATGTACACGGCGAGACGCGAGGCTGATCATGAGAGACGGCTGAGCGTGTGTTCTGACAACTGGGGACAGACTGTGGACGCCCGGCGATGGGGGAGATCGCTATCGATGGGTGTCTCCGCTGGCCGCGCTGGGATGGTAGTGCGAAGGAGGAGGTGAGCTGGCGGTCGCTTGGACGCTGCCCTCGACGGTGGACGCGAGTCACCCCGCAGCGCGCGACGTAAAATAGGCGATCGGCGCTCAGCCATTTCGAGCCTTCCGGTCGATCCGCGGTGCTAGGCGCTCGTCTTCAGCATCGATCGAACTTCACTGAAGGGCTCTCGCAGACTCGTCGGCAGAATGCAAGGGCGACGAGCTTGTGCTGCCCGAAGAGCTCGCTATGGTGTATATGGCAAGCGTCTGAGTGCAGGAGGGAGATCTATCCTGAGAATAATCACCCCAAAGACCACTAGAATTGGTCGCAATGGCCAGTTGACTGGAAACCCGCTACTGTCTCGGAGTCGTATACGTATAGGTGCTGAGGGCGAGGCAGAGCACACACCGTGTGTATGTCAAATGACTGCTGAAACTTTTGACTCCGTTCGACATTAATCAAATGCGCGTCTCTGCGTGTCCACAGGCACATGACCGTGTCCTGCAGGATAGACGCCTTGTCGGGGCGGGCGTGCCTAAAGCGGCCAGCGTCGCGCTCCACGCGCCCAACCTCAATATTCGCGACGAGCCCCGAACGTCCTCGAACGCCCCTGCGCCGTCCTTCTCCCCACCGCCCCCGCCTTCATATCTACCGCTGCCGCCTCATCACTGACTCTTGGATACCTCTCGAGCCCTGATAGCGCACGATCTTCCTCTGAAAATCCTTAACGATCATGTTTGGATGCCTAGTCGCCGGCCGCCCTCTGCAGACCAACCTGCAGCAGATCGACGACACGCACGCGATCTTCGAGCTGCCCGCTGCTGGGTCCATCAACCACATATGTGTCTTCCTGCTCGGCACAGGTGCGCCGCCGCGTTTGGTCCTCCCTTTCCCCCGCGCTGACCTCCGCGCTCGCAGTGCCCTTCCCCGACGGCTACGGCGCGACGGTACACTTCTTCTGGCCAGGCAAAGGCTTCCAACTCCTAGGCATGTGAGTGCCCCCCTCCCGCCCCGCGCGCGTCCTGCCCCGCTCACGCGCCCCTCCCGCGCAACGTAACACAGGCTCTCGAACGAGAAGCCCTCCGCGATCTTCCGCCTGCGCGGCACCTACTCCGCCCAATCCACCACCGCCCACGCCGTCTTCACCGGCGCCGCGCCAGACACCTCCCCCACCTCCGTCACCGCCGTCCTCGGGCTCTCCGTCGAGCCCCTCCCCCAGATCGCGCAGGAGGTCGCCGCGCTCCCGTCCGCCGTCGCGCGCACGACGAACAGCCCGGCCGCGGACGCGACGCTCATGGCAGAAAGGATCGTGAAGAACCTGTTCAACTTCGTGACGAGCTTTCTGGGGGGCGCGGGCCCGATGGGCCCGGAGGTGATGATCCCGCTGGGGATGGTCGCGAAGTGGTATGAGAACTTTCTGACGAAGGTGCGGAATACGGGCGTTGGGTTTTTGGAGAACCAGGAGTAGCCGGGGCTGGGGAGGGGCGCCGGGGGGCTGAGGGCCTGAAGGGGGATCACGCAAAAGTGAGTCGTGGTGGGGTTGACTGCGCTGTGGGCTGTTTGGCTGAGAGTTGTGCAAGTGGACGCATCACAGGTATTCTGGACGTTTATGGGGATCGTGTACGATTATGGTGTATGCATGGTCGATTTCTTGGTTACCGCTCAGCCTTGTGTGTCTGATCTAGGTCCCACCGAGTCGTCCACTCGATCGGAGGGTGCCCACATTACTCCTTTCCCTGCCGGGCACGCGCACTTCCCTATATGCGTCCCAACTCTTCCCGTACTGATCATTCCAAGCCATCAAGCAAGCGGTCGACAATCGCAGACGTCCACCACCACACCAAGGATACCAAGATGCTCCCGGCACCGAGGAGCATACCCGCACACAGAACGCGCGATACCACTCTAGGCAACCTGTCTCCGCGGGACCACAAACGTGTAGTCCCTACAGGAATCGGACGACCAGCCCGTCTCACAGCGACATGCGTACCACGTGGGACGCTCCGCTTCTCCTTGCCTCCGGCAAAGCTGCCGAGGCGAAGCCAAATGCCGTCTCTCACGAAGCGAGCGGGCCCGCGACCGTGACGGCGAAGGTGCGTGGACGTTCCCCGCCGCCGGCCAGAGTGAGTACCCCGCGAGGAGATTGACGTGCCCGCCGCGGTCTCATATGCGGATGAGGTACGAGCAGTCGCGACGGCGAAGAGGCTCCCATCGCCCCGCTGTGGCTTGAGCTGCGGCGCCGTCGCCCGTGTGCGTAGAGGCTGTCGGGTGCGGGTCGGGTGCCATGGATGCACCGGCTCGGAACGTGGCAGTTGTGCGCAGAGAGGAAGAGGCCGCGCGCAGGTCCGGGCCCCGACGTTTAACTTGCAAACACCTGCATTCGTCGTCTGCCATCAGAGGCAGAGCTACATCTCCCACTCCACACGGGCCTGGATCTCGCAGACTCTCCTGAAGACGCTCGCTTGACACCTGCCAGCCCCATGTCGTGGACACAGCCTCGTGAGGTCGAGACAATCAGTTGCCGGACATACCTTCACAGATATTGAGATGCCGGACGTGTGATGAGGTGGTTTGCGGCTGCTATCTGCCTTATTAGGGAGGTGTCGTCGTTTGTCAATGGCGATTGAGTGTACTGGGGGTAGCAGATGCGGACACTATCCTTCTGTTGATGAATATGGACATTGCAGATGCGTCGAGCATCTCGATGTCCGTATGCAAGTGGTTGACACCAAAGCCGGCATTTGAGCATTAGACGATGTTCAGTTCATGTAGCCAGGCAGATGGATAGAGAGGTCCAATCGATACGTCAGAATATGCGACAATGTTCAATACAGGGAGGTACAGAAGATGCGGAAACCGTGCCTCCTGATGATGGCATCCTGCACATCTCCGAACGCAGACCCACAGACCGAGTCTGTGGTGAAGGACTGTGACAACAAACGGCCTATATCGGTATAACACTCCGTGTTCCCCTGATATAACCCGACGGCAGAGTCAAGGTACAGGCAGCTCGTCCGGGTAGGTACTGTTATGACACTCGGCCGTGCTCGTGTAGACTGGCGACATTTTTCCCAACGGACCTGGGTCCCCGAGGCGTCAGGCAGAGATCTCTCATACAAACATGGGAGCCAGCTTACCGAATGCTCCGAGGGCGAGAAAGAAGACAGTCGCTGCCGTTCTCATGGGCCGGTGGAACCGACGAGACAAGGGGGAGCCACCCCCAGAGTCCATCGGTCCACCCAACACACACCATCAGGCTCCGACGTCTCGGAGGACTCCCGAAGGCGAGTGCCAGCGGCCATGGAAGGTGACTTTCGCGGGCAACTTTCCATCTTGCAGACGACCGTCAGATATGTCACCTCCACTGTAGTTACAAGAGTCGACGTCAGGATATAAAAAGCACTCCCCGAGCTGAACTCCTTGATCACCACTGTGCACTATGCTCTGCCTTGCTTAACTCGTAGTGACAGGAAAGCTGGTGGCGTGCTTGGCTCAGCTGGGGGACTGGCAGGTTGTTCAAGGTGACTGGTATATGCCACCGAATGACGCTACGGAATGAGCGAAGACGATGATCAGGGCCACGAGACCGAGGAGACATGCAAACGAGACATACCTGACTAGCATATAGTGCCGTAAGGACAAGCCGGAGGAAGATAATCGCAAATGATACCGCGTTTATCCGGTGTATGTGGGGTGCTGATACGTGAAGGGGTTTGACCGGCAAAATAGCATGAGATGCAGAGAAGGTGGTGCTAGGGGTGAGGAGGCGTCGTCGCTTGATGCAGGCCTATATACTGCCAGAAGAGCGGGCTGACCGGATGTTTCGGCGGCTGGCATCCAGATCCCTTCACGGAGGTTGGCCTGTCCGCCATATGACGGTGGTTCTGGACGAGGGCATGATGTTGAATCAGGCAGGTGCTGTGGTTTGCATGTCAAGATCGCACCCCAACGTCCAAGGAGCCGAGATGCAGCCGTATCTCACGCAGTCGCATCACTATTGAGTCCCTTCTGCGAGCTTCTAGGTCGCGGTCATAGACACCGACGATATACACATGCATTACGACATCGAGTGATCTAGCGAGGACGATCAGGACGGGGACGTTAGGGAACAGAAGCAGGACAGCGGGAAAACAGCGTATGTTGGCGGACTATAACACCGAGCCTAAGAATAATCAATCTATGCTAGTCAGAACATTCTGAGATCACGAGTCAGCTCATCGATGGATCTCTTCGTTTCAAAGCAAAGTACGCACCTCGTCATTGTCGAAGGACCACCACCACAGTAGCTCGCTCTTCTTCCCATCCGGTAGGCATTCGTTCATCGCCTCGTCCACGATCTTCTTGGCTGCTTCGAATCTCCCCTTCCGAGAGAATCCATAACCGAAATACTTCTCTTCGATGTCGTAGTTCGTCCACACGTAAAGAATCCTGTCCCATTCGAGAGACAGGGGCCGCCCTATCTCGAAAACGAATCCAGTGGATCGTCTTAAGTGACCCACGGAGACGAACCGCGCTGCGTGACACATTTCTTGGAGCAGCTGCTCGTCTCGATAATGTTCCTCAGTGGCATCACCGAAATTGAATGTCTTTGTGGCGCAGCCCAGCCGCTTACGAGCCTCCTCCGATACCTCCAGAGTCAGCCCATGTCTCTTGGCGTACTCGAGGAAGTAGTCTAGGTTGAAGGTCCAGCCGTATAGCAGTAACGGAGGTGACCTGCCACGGCTGCCGAAGAGTCTAGGAGGGATCTTCTCTCTGGGCTTCCTGTTGGCGATGAGCATCTCCCATTTCTACATCGAAAGCGTGTGTTCGATGAGTAGCAATGGTTGTAGAACACTGATGCACGTACAGCTGTTCGAGCCTCTTCCGCTGCCTTAGTGAGCCTGGATCCTAGATTCGCGGGATCGGTACTGGGTTCCTTCTCCAAGAGGTATTGCCCATTGTACCAGAGTGCAGGTTCAGTCATTCTGCGTGCGCTGTCGTGTGACATCAGTCGGGAGAGGTGGCTATAGGCGTTCGTAGGGCTCCGGGGGTTGTTGAGGTAATGTCAGGAAGGCGCTCTCCTCCTACTTAAGTCAAAGTGCCCCCAGACTGACCGGCCTCGAGGCGGCTTAAGCGGCGGATTGAAAACTTCGTCCCTAACGCGGATTCGCCTTTGGCTAATGGGCCAAAACGGCGGAGGCGGGTGCCTGGCCCTGCGGGTGACGAAGCTAATGTTCGACTTCAGGACGGAGCGGCCTGGGCTCAGTAGCCCGGACTGATCCTCGAGCTCAGGCGGTTGAGATAGCCAGCGAGGCAGGCGCAGAAGATGAGTCGATGTTGACCACGAAGACTGTTCGTCTAGAGGGCGGGCCGTAACAGCCGCGGGCCGGCCGAGATACATGCATGAGCGCTTTCTCGTTAAAACCATGGCCAACTTGATTGTACTTGCCACTGCTTGTGAACTACTGAACAATAAAGTAGTAAGGGATTGAGTATGGGGGATGTACAACTACTAGAGTGACTGATGCTCCGCAGTACGCGCCAGAGAACGTGAGGCATACGCAGTCCTGCAGAACGTGAGTTGCTGATACAAACAAACCACATGATATCAGAGGGAGCATTGAACATTGATGATCAGTGGTTGGATGGACGAACAGGGAGCTACATCGATCACCCCGGAGCAGAACGCTCGAGGCTGCGTCCGATTGCGTTGGCTGTTCAGATGACACTCTCATAGCGGCGGAATATGTACATATAGCCGTCCTCAGTGTTCACACATGTTGAAGCCCACCTCGAACACTTCCTTGTTATGATCCACCACGAACCGAGACCGCTCCTTCATCAGCTTCTCCCGATCCTCTTCCGCCTCCTTGCGCGACACAAACCCATCGGATGCGTATTTCAGGACGGCATCGTACAGCTCCTGTGGAAGCTTCCCCAGAATCGGCGCCTTCGCCAGCTCGGCGAAAGCCCACTTCTCCTGTTGCGGTGGGACATCGCTCGTCGATAGGATGCGAGCGAATGGATTGACCACAAAGAAGCACAGAATCTTCCTGTACCCCGGCTTCCTCGAATCCGCGAGTTCGAAGGCGTCGACATGGTGCTGGTATACGTTCGGGAACGCGACGCACTTGTCCTCCTCTGCGACAATGTATCCCAGATACTGGTTCAATGGGCGGTCGCGCTGCAGTCCAAAGGCAGCCGTATACCCTTGTACGTCGTCCTGCTCATGCACTAGCGAGCGTCCCCGGCCCTCCGCGCCGATTGCAGTCCGGATATCGAGGCGCGACTCGGTGATATTCTCGCACGCGTAGTAGTAGAGGCCCGTAGCGACGATGTTCTCGTTCGCCATTCCCTCGACGTGCCACGACCCACCGGCGTACTTCGGGTTCTCTGGGGTGAGGACGATATTCGCTAGCTTGACGATCACTTGCAGCGTACGACCGCGGAGCGAGATCTTGATCTTATCCTCCTCGTCCACAGGAGGGGCGAAAGGTTCGGGTTCAGGAATAAGCGGTCATCTATACTTCGACTCCCACTCATCGTAGGCATCGTGGTACGCACGTTTGTCAACTGGGTAGTCGTCAAAATCTAAATAACTTGGCGCGGGTACCGCGACGTGGTGATACCAACGATACGGACTGGGGCGTACGGCAAGCGGAGGCCAGGGACTGACCGCATCGGAGAGCACCTTTTCGAATAGAGGCACAAAACGCGAGAGAACTGAGGAGATGGTGCGGTACATGGCGCGGTGGTCGATAGGATGGAGGTTGTTAATGTATGCGAGGGGTTTGACGTCGCCCGATTCGGATATCTCAAAGTCCGTCGGGAGCCATTGGTAGTCATGCGAGATGCATGGCGGTTTTGCAAAGCCGAACCACCATATCTTCTCGAACTCTGGGCGGCAATTGAGGTAGTCCTCGAGTGTGAGCTGTACGGTGGAGGTGCCCTGGCCCTGGTCACGACGGTAGACGTGCGACCGACCGATGCGCAGGCAGTACATTGATGGATGGACGAGGTCCAGCACTTGCTTCTTTGACCTCGGATGCCAGTCCTTCTCCTCGTCTGGGATATCCTCGAGCGCAGAGACGCCTTGCGCGAGGGATGCCTTGACATCGGCGGGCATCAGAGATCGCGACTCGTACACCTTGTGGATTGCCGTCGCCTGCATAAGGCCAAAGTCAGCCATCCTCAGCGGTTTAAACGGGAATATATACTCACAAAGATACCAGTTTGGTCGTCGTACCGGCTCGCGTCGTATCGCAGTTCATCGAGGAGATAGTTGAGCTGGACTACGGTAATCTTGTCCCGGGGCCACTGCTTTTCGCCATCGCCCCTCTTCCAGTACTCGTCGCCACCCCAGAATCGTTCGACCATGGCCGTATCATGCTCGATCATCTCCTTGCGCCACTTTGTTACGATCTCGTCGTCGTAGACTTTCTTCCACCAATTGGGCTTAGCGCGTATCTTTCCTGAGAACCATCGCATGCGAAGCTCGATGAGCGTTAGAGGATTACGGATGATAGTATCGAAAGGAGACGTAAACTCCAGCTCGGATTGGGACATGATCGGAATGGCAGGGGGGAAATCTGTATAGATGTCGATTTCGCATGAGCTTGCCACCTTGTAAGAGATGCCAACGCAATGCTTACTACGTATGCACGGTACCCTAGCAACACCGATGCGAGTTGACTTGTAATTGTCGTTGGCTCACAACACTCGGACTGCGAGAGACTGGACAAAATTCTGCGATATGTTCATAAGGATTATGTCACAGAGAGAATGGTAGTACCTGCGACATGTTCATCAGGACTGAGGAACGTAGTGCAAGGCGAAATATGCAAGTACGTGACGCGAAGGTGAAATGTTCACATTGTGACGGCGTGATAAGGTCACGAAGCCGGGTGCGCGTACTGTCAACCCTCCTGGCGTGCAATGACTCACAATGTTCGCTTCGCGTAAGTACTATGTAGCCGAGTTCGCTTGGAACCAGTAGCCACTTCAAGTTTCCTCAGGCTCGATCAGTGGCAGTCCATACCGCAACTCACCACCATTCGGATAATCCTCATGCTCTTCAAGCCGAAGCTCGCCCTAGTACGGAGATGCCCAGTGGGCTGCGCGTAGGCTTACCACTTTGCATGCGCCCGTAAACCTTGATCTTCATACACTATCATGCTGCCATTAACACGTACATATAGCCTTGTTCAATGCTCACACATGTTGAACTCCACCTCGAATACCTGCTCATTATGATCCACCACGAACTGAGACCGCTCCTGCATCAGCTTGTCCCGATCTTCCTCCGCCTCCTCGCGCGACACTAACCCAACGGACGCGTATTCCAATACGGCATCGTACAGCTCCTGTGGAAGCTTCCCCAGAATCGGCGCCTTCGCCAGCTCATCCAGTGCCCAATGCTCCTGTTGCGGGGGGACATCGCTCGTCGACAGGATGTGAACGAAGGGATTGACCACAAAGAAGCACAGGATCTTCCGGTACCCGGGCTTAGTAGGGTCCGCGAGTTCGAAGGCGTCGACGTGGTGCTGGTATACGTTAGGGAACGCGACGCACTTGTTCTCCTCCGCGACGATGTGCCCCAGACACTGATTCAACGGGCTGTCGCGCTGCAGTCCGAACGCGGTGCGGTAGCCTTGCTCGTCATTCTGCTCGTACTCGAGAGAAACGCCGTTCATGTTGTCTGAGTTGCCCACGGCCGCTCGGAAGTCAAGGCGTGACTCGGTGAGGTTCTCGCACGCGTAGTAGTAGAGGCCTGTGGCGACGATGCTCTCGTTCGCCATGCCCTCAACGTGCCACGAGCCGCCAGGGTACTTCGGGTTCTCAGGCGTGAGGATGATGTTGGCGAGCTTGACGATCACCTGAACGGTACGTCCACGAAGTGAGATGGTGATTCGATTCTCCTCGTCTGCAGCAGAAGGCGGCGTGAAGGGATCGGGCTCCGGAATATGTGGCCACTGGTGGTATTTCTCCCACTCAGCGTATGCGGCGTCGAACTCCTCCGACGGACGGTCTTTGAAATCGCCCCAATTTGGTTGAAGCGCGTACACGTGGTCGTACCAATCGTACGGATGCGGGCGTATAACATGCGGCGGCCAAGGGTTGAGTGCGTCCGAGAGGACTTTCTCGAATAGAGGTACGAAGAGCGATAAGACGGAGGAGATGGTGGGATACAAGGCCCGGTGATGGATAGGGTGGAGGTTGTTGATGTATGCGAGGGATCTGACATTGCCTGATTCCGAGACCTCGAAATCGGTCGGGATCCATTGGTAGACGCGCGAGACGAAGAAGCGGGGTATCTCCTCAAGATCTGGGCGACGGTCAAAGTAGTCTTCTGGCGTGAGAGGAACGATGGGATTGGTATGGCCCACGTCTCGCCGGTAAACATGCGAGCGACCGATGTGCAAGCAATACAAGGACGGATGGACGAGATCGAGGACTTGGTTGTCAGATCCTGGGTGCCAATCCTTCTCCTCCTCTGGGACATTCTCGAGTATCGCGATGCCTTGCAGTAGTTTATTCTTGAGATCGGCAGGAATAAGGGAGCGTGACTCATATACCTGGTAGATCGCGGTAGCCTGTGAAGTAGTCAAGTTCGGTCCTCACCAGCCATCGAAGTCACTAATGGCCACACTAACGAAGATGCCCGTTGCCTCGTCATACTGGCTAGCTTCATATCGTAGTTCGTCGACGACGCAATTGAGCTGGACGTCGCTGATCTTCTCCCGCGGCCACTGTTTCTCGCCCTCGCCACTGTCATAATACTTATCGCCTCCCCAGAATTTGTCGACCATGATCGCGTCGTGCTCGACAATTTCCTGTCGCCACTTCGTCACGATCTCCTCGTCGTAGACTTTCTTCCACCAGTCTGGCTTGCAGCGGATCTTGCCCGAGAAGCTGCGCATGCGCAGCTCAACAAGCGTGATCGGTGTGCGGTCGTTAGGCGCGAAAGGAGACGTTAACGCCGGGTTGGATCCGGCCATGGCACACAAGGAGTTGAATCTGTTAAGAAAATGCTGTAAGATCTCGTAAATGTACAGGCGTACTGATTACACCCACTGGCGTCTCTTTATTATTCAAAAAGTTTAGGATCAGGATTACTTCGAGCTGGTGTAGAGTATTCCCTGGCAGATGGTGACCTCAGGAGCAGCTACTACCGATCCCTTAGTGCTATGCATGTTCAACGGCGTGACCAAAGCCCATGGTCACAGAACACACTCACTATTTGACACCAGGTGGAGGAATCGTATCGAGATGGGTCCAAGCTGCGACGCCGAGTCTTACCAGCGCATAGCAAAGCAACGATAGAAGTACGGTTCACCTACCTCGGCCACTGCGCATCAGCAGATCAAGCGAACAATGATCAAGATCAGCCATGGCCACGGCGCCCGAAACTGGCCTACCCTTTCCGGAAACCGCAAGCGCCTACTAACTCTGGCCAACTCCATGGACCCCGGCCTTTGAACGTCTCCGCGGATGCATCTTGGAATTGGTAGGTAGGTTTCCATCTGGTGCTTTCACTTCATACCACTTTATCGTCATTAAAAATGTGCGGGTACATCGGGACTGTGCAAAGTGCTCCGCTGTACCGCCGCCTCTTCCTCCTCGGCATTCCTTACTAAGATCTCTACGATCTCCTTCTCCGTCTCACGGGCGCGCCCCTCGTCCTTCTTCCTCTCCCGAACGCGCTCCTCAGACTCCTCCATTCTCCTCTGCCCTCTCCGCCTCCCCGTCTGCGCATCCGTCCCCGTAATCATGAGCGGCGGCATGGGGCGGCAAGTCAGGTTGCAGGGTGCAGAAGCCGAGTAGCCTACAACGAGGTATGTAAACCTCTGGGATATCGGGCCAGGGAGGTATGAGACCTCCCAGCCACGCATATGATTGGCTGTCAGCCTAGGACATCAATACGGGCGCATCAGTTTTTGATAGCTGGAACGGTGTACGTACTCGAAGCAACTTCAAGGAGCTCAAATGAAAACCATACTCTGAGGAGGTCGCAGTAATTGACGAGGCAGCATTTGTCTAACAGATGCAGAGTGTTGTGCAGGCATGGCGGGTGAGGAGGGTGGGCGACGCGCGACGCAAAAGACCACCGACGCTGTCACCACGGGCGCATCAGCGCGCTGGTTTTGATGATCAAAGTTCTCAATCAGCATTGTGGCGTTTGATGCTAGATTTTGGGTTTGCGCGAAGAGGACCCGCCATTCGTGCTCCCTCCCTCCCTCGCTGCGCGT